CCAACTCCCAAAAAACCCGTGGGACGAAAAATTAGGGGGCCTGATGTCCGGAGGACCCTCTCGCAGACAGTCCTCAGGACGTGCCCAAAATTTGGGAGTTGGAACTCCAAATTTTGGGAGTAGTTTAGCTAATTCCCAATTAATAAACTGTGGGAAAAGTAATTCAATCGAGACTGCGCAGCCTGCAAAGGCAGTGCATGAGGTGACAAATAAAACCAAACTAATTTATGCGGTGGGGATAAAGAGGTGTGGAAAATTATGTGTATACCGTGATCTGTGTATAAGCATAACTGAGAGGTGATTTGAGGGTTGTGACATGTGCTTGACTGGGTGTTGGCCTTGTGATATGCGTCCTAGGGGTGTAACTTCCAATCCATGAGGGTTCCAATGATGCATCCAGTGGTGAACTAGGCTGAAATTGTCCGTAGAGTCCATTCCTGAAGTTGTATTGGTTGATTTCTGGCTGGATATATGAGAAAAAATGTATATAAAGAAAAACTTTGAAATATTTACATATTAAATTACCACACCGTAAAACCTCATCAAACCCCATCCAAATCCTCATCAGCTGACCTACCAGTATCAAAATTCAAAATCAAAGATTCCTCCAAGGATCCCTCAGTTCCAACCCTTGATGAGGAGAGCTGTAGTCTTCCAAGATCCAAGAGGCTGATAGGCATGAAAGAAAGAAACAAGAGAGTTGAGTACATCTTTCCATCTCACCCCATCACTCTCAAGCTCTCCTTCTTTTCCATCACTGACCCTTCCCTTACTTCATTCCCAAACCCAAAGATCTTTGCTAGCATCAATGCCTCCCTGAACTTGCCCCCACGTACTCATCCACCCGAACCATCTCTATCACCACCCCCTCCATCCGCATCATCAGGATCTTCCAACTCATCCTCATCTTCACTCCCACCCTCCTCACCCAAAAGATCATCTGGTAACCTCGGAGTTCCTGGTAGTCATCATATCCACTCCAGTCTTATTCCATTTGCCAAAGGCTGGAGCCCCAGTCCAAGAAAGATAACTGCTACTCATGGCTCTCAATCTCAAGCTTCTAACGGTCAAATAGACAATCTTCCTACAAAGTCAATGGATCCGGAACCCAAGAGCATCAATGACAACAAAAAGTATGGTAGTGTCAGTGATAAGCAACCTGAACGCTCCCAACTTGTAGAGTGCACCTCCCCTGCGGGAAGTTCTGAAGTAGACTCCATGTCGCCACCCCATTCTGAATGAACAAAAAATTTCTCATCACCCAGATCAAGGGAGAAGACAAATTGATCCAAAAATAGAACAACACCTCAGGGAAGCTACTGATCCACCAACATCAGGTGACACCACCCAATCTTACAGAAACAGTCGCACTTGGCCTGAATTGATTTTGATGCATACTTCATCCAGTGATACCATTGGCGCCCAAGATAGTCGTAGAGCCAAGAGGAGCACATCAAAAAGCTCGGTGTTTGACTGTCAGACTAACTCAAGTAGACACCCAAGAACAAGTAGATACTGGGAGGATGAACAAAAACAACTATGCAAGACTTCAAACGGTAATACCTTTGCATATGCACTGTCTGCTTTGAAAGTAATGATCAACCAATCAACAGCCAAACATAGGAGATGATGGGAGCCCATCCTAGCCGACCGCTTGGTAAATCTTGTGATCAGTAATGCACCAATCAACGTCCTCAAACCCACCACTGTGATTCTCCAAAAGTTTATCGCACACAATTCATCTGCCTTGGCCCGACTAGCCTTTGGTGTGATCCGTGGGGTGATCAAAGCGGAGAAGGAGGATCTGTTTTGCTTACTGGCTTGTTGGATTGGATCAGGGTCTACCTCCGACTTCAGTCTCTCTCAAGTCAGTTTTGCACTTGTCAAGGCATTGATACGTTGTGGAAAGTAAGGCGCGCCTTCGGAGATTTCTTGTACTTCTCCGCTCCACAACACGTCCTACTCCGATTTGTTGTCCGGGGTAACTTGCTTGATGGTCTTGTAGGTAGGTAAAATAACTCTCTTGTATTGATCTTTGGTAGGTAACACTCTAACTCTATTCTATTTCTAACAATTCTTTAGGCTAATACACGATTCCCTCCTAAGTCACTCTGTTTTTCTGATATGTTCTGAGTCATAAGTCTCCCCCCCTCTCTCCCCTCTTCTGCTCCAAACTCTGCTCCCCCCAAGTATCTCACACTCAAGTTCCCTCCTGCTTCCCACGATGTCCTCCGCTGTCACCCCCTCGGACTCCGCATGTCACCCCTCCGACGCCTGTTGGCCCAGGTACTCCTCCGGCCGCTCCTGGACAGGTCTCCCACCGCCGCTTCCGCCTCTGGTCCACTCCAAACCCCGCTTCCGCCCCTCGGTGCTCCCCGCTCCTTGTAGCCCCTCCGCAGTATACGCTGAACCCCCGTTCCACAGTCGGTCGTGAACCCCGGTGTCCGCCGGTGCCCGGATTCCCCGCAGCAAGATTTTCAGAACCTTGCGCATTCGGTCTACTTTTCCCCGCTTTTCCCGCGCCTCGGAAAGCTAGACTTTTCACTAATGCACCGCCGCTTTCCTCAGCTTGCGTGGGTAGCGTCAGCTCCGCATGCTTTCCGCATCAGCCGCGAGCATTCTGCACACCCCCAAACAAACCGGCCAAAGCTTTGGCCAAGGCACGCTCTCGCCGCCACAACGTGCAGCTCTCTGGGAAGATGCCCGACAGGACTACATGGGTTTTTTTATGGAGCGTATGGAACGTGCTGGGATCCGCCGGGCCGTCTTGAGGCTTGGTGAGGGTCAGGCAGATGAAGTGTTTGATGAAGTCAAATCGGATATCCTCACCCTCCAAGGAAATCTAGTACTCATGAACCAGCTACTGATCCAAAAGACCGTCAACTCGGAAGTCCCAGAACACTTTGAACAGCTCATGGAGATGGCCAGTTGGGCTTGTGACCTTGATGCTTGTCACAACAACACCGGGGAAGAGGGAGATGAAGAGCGGACTGGAGAATATGAACTGGGGGTTTGCAAATGGAAAACGCTTGGCTTTGATTTGGCTAATCTACTCAATGATTCCAAGAAAGTCGGTGTCTTGGGACTCAAGTTAATGTACAGATTCATGAATACTGGCTGAGTTGAATTTGCCAAAGTACGTTTTCTGTCTATTGTTCAATCCTAGATCGTCATCGACCTTTACGAGTGGAATGTAACAGATGCCCAAGCTGATCAACTGATCACAGTCTTCAAGCCGTTCATGCTCAACTACCCCAAATTACACCATTTGGCATTAGATTTCTTCAAGTTAATGTGGAATGAATCTGGCGCAACAACCCATGATTTTGAAAGGGTTGGAGTCTTGGTCATGAGTCAATTAGGAAATGCTCTGAGAAATCACAAAGACTCTAAAGGATCCGTCAAAACTAGTTGGATGAATTTGAGAACGGTGAATACATGAAGGTTTGTGATCATCAGATGCAAGAGTTAGCCATGGATGATGGCATTTGGAATAAAAATCCAGTCAGGTGAGATTTTATCAGGTTACTACAAAAAAAACGGTAAGTTGAGCTGAAGTGGGATGTGTGGAATGGAACAGGAATTTGAGAGGAAAACTGTATCAAAACGCATTCGAATTTGTTAAAACACAGAGGATCAATACTCTACTGGCAGGGTGTTGGTTCCCACATTATCCGGAACAGATCCTCCTGGTAAACTCAAACCATGGGAACAGTGGAGCCAAGTTGGGAATTTTGGTCCCCAGCTTACGAGCTCATTCTCAATTTAATAATTTGAAAAATAGTAACAGGTTACTCGATCCCAATCACAATATTGTCCCCAAATAGAGGTTCTATTGCTTGGCTCCTAATAGAAAGAATTTGCATTATCTCAAAACTCCGCAGCCTGTTTTGGTTTTAAGTGGAGTTGAGGAATTGCCAGATCAAAGTGAGTTTTTGATGAAAAGTTTGCCCTTGTCATAGCTGGTAGACAAACAGAATGATTGACGCAGTTGTTTTTTTTCTTCTTTTCTCTGATAAATCAGTTGATGTATCATTGATCACTTTGGTTCTGAGTGGATCTGGGACAAACAACAACTTGAAGCAGCATCATCAACAACAACAACAAGGAGAGAACAGCCACTTTGATCGGCGGCCGTCCTTAACACGCCGGATGAGCAGCGCCTCCTTGGCAATTACGAGCGACAGTCTTGTGATGTTGGCCAACAAGAGCCATCCAAAGAAGAACAGACAACAACAAGGATGCCAAAGCCATCAAGCAAGCATTTTGCTCATGAATGGCGACCACCTTCTCCTCCGTCTCTTCCTATCCAACTCGTACATCTATAGCAAATGGTTTGACTGCCTCAATCTCATCAAATCTCTTGCCAACCAAAACCCCCACCAACCCATTGAAGATCACAACCATAACGCTCATGAGCTCCTTTCCAATCCCGCCGCTGAGTCATCTCTCATTCCTTGCTCTAATCGCACTCAACCTTTGACTGGCCTTTGGACAGTCGTTCTCATCAAATTAGCGATACATTTGCAATTGTCCCTGATAGGCTCAACGGTATAGAATCAGCATTGTCCTGCTACGATGGACATCATATTTACAACACTGGAACTAGGCACCCATCTATCCGTAACAAACATGCCAGTTGGTCAGGTTTGGATGATGTTGGTGGGGACCTTATAAGATCTCAATTGGTTCTGGGTGGTGGTTAGTCAATTTTTTTTCTCCCATTTATCTATCAACCCCCAGAAATCTGTTGGCCTTTAACTTTAATGTTCATCTCCAGTCAATGATCCTCACACTGCAGAACGACGGGAACGACCCACCAACATTGCACCGCGTTTCCCAGCCCTATTTCTTGACGGACCATTGTCTATCATCACAACAGTGTTGATGACAATGACAAAGGCCAAACATCTACTGCAACATATACCAACACCCAGTTGATGCCTCAAAAGGCTGATTCAGCTGGGTTGAGGAGTTGCACACATGAATGGGCTTTAGAAGGTTAGTTTTTTTTTGAAATGTGATTGAGAAAATTTCCCTTAACTCATTCTAGCCACTCTCTTTTGACACAGATCACCTGGAGAGAAACCCCCAATCAGTTGGCACAAGCTCTTGGATGGGTGGTAACAGTCTAATCCTCAGTCCGTCTTGATCCAGGCTAATTGGGGAGAGAGATTGGAAATTAAGAGGTAATGGTGGTGCTGCAGTTCCCCACCCAAGTCCTTTTGCACAGCTGCTCAGGAACACATACCAAGACAAAAACTTGGCCAGCCATAACGCTGAAAACCGCTCTTCAAGATCTGGTGCATCATCCAAGCTCCTCCAATAACAGAGGGCTCCGGTTCATAGACAGCTCTCTTTGGCCAAGTTCACCAACTTGTGCTACCTCCCAACGGTGCAACATATACTATAAAATAAAGTATTGCCCAATATTTTATATTGTATTGGTGTCCAGATAAAAATTATCTTTAATAAATATATTATATCTGTTTGCCAATAAAATAAAAAGTATTTTATTGGCTTCATTGGCAAACAGATAAATTTTATCTGTTTTGAATATATTGTATTGGCCAATAAAATAAAATATTGGCACAGTATCGCAGGTATTCAATAATTTCACTTTTTTTTCTTTTTTTTTCTTTCTTTCCATTTTCCTTTCTTTTTTTTCATTTTTTTTTTCTTTTTTTTTCATTTTTTTTTCCTTTTTTTTCATTTTTTTCATTTTTTTTTTCATTTCTTTTCATTTTTTTTCCTTTTTTTCCTTTTTTTTCATTTTTTCATTTTTTCTTCTTTTTCCTGTTTTTTCTTTTTGTTTTCTTTTATTTTTTATTTTTTTCTTTTTTTTACTTTTTACTTTTTATTCTTTTTCTTTCTTTCTTTTTTTTGTAAGTGGAGGAAGTCAGGCCCAGGGCAGAGGAGAGCAGGGGAGACTGTTCAAATAATTGGGGCTTGTGCTTGGCCTTTGGCATCCGCAGTTGTGGGCTGAATGGTACTGGCAAATTAGATGGACCTGCTTCATCTATCTCTAGTCTGACCATCATTGTCTCTTTGATCAATCAGATATATTCCATCACTAATGAGAGTGGAGCCCATTGGACTAGCTGTTCCACCAATCCACTCACAAAAAAATAAAAGGGCAAACATCAGGTCAGCCTTTGATGATTGTTATGATTCAACTATGATGTGTTCTCAGAATAGAGGATATCAAGGTGCAAATGGGAGAATAGTGGCAATCTGAGGCTTGAATTGACTCTAGCGAGCAAGCAAAGGGCAGTAAGAATCGTTTTTTTGTGACATCAAAGTGGATTGCAATGATGAATGTTAGAAGGGGAGGGGCATGTTGGTGCAATTAGAAGCATACAAGCCATGAAAGCCAATCATCATAGTATCATGTGAAGAATACCATGGATGGTGGATTGGATAGACGGGAAATCTCAAAGAAAAAAGTAAGAAAGTGATATGAAATACACAGACAAAAAATGAAAATGAAAAAATGAAAAAAATGAAAAATAAAAAATAAAAAAAAATAAAAAAAATAATGAAAAAAATAAAAAAATAAAAATGAAAAAAATGAAAAGAAAAATAAAAAAAAAATGAAAAAAAACGAAAAAAATGAAAAAAATGAAAAAAAAAATGAAAAAAAGAACAAAAAAGAAAAAAAAAGAAGAAAAAAGAATAAAAAAGAAAAAAAAGAATAAAAAATAGGTTTTTGAAATCCACACTGATAATTTTGAAGTATATTATTTTATTTTATTGGCCGAGCCAATAGATTAATGATGAATAAAGTTAATTTTATTGGCTGCCCAATACATGTATCCATGAATAAAAATTATTGGGCCAAGGGCCCAATACTATACTTAGCCCAAATATTGGGTGGTATTCATAGGCAATACCACCCAATATCAATACTCAGCTAATATTGGTTTCACCGTTGGTGACGTGAACAAAAATTCCCAAAATCTTCCAGCTCCAAGCATTGATAAAACCATAGAGAGTGATTCCAAACTTCTTGAGTTTGTTGTGGCCATTGGCAGACCAAATGAAGTTTGGGTCAGGGGTGTTGAACACACGACACTTCAAAACCCTTTTCAATTGGTTATCAACACCTTCAGGATCAAGGGTACAGTTGATCAATGCAACTGTGAGACTTCATTCCAAACAAAGAAATATCAGAAATAATTCCACCGGATTATAATAACAGAGAAGACATAACACACTTATGAATGTTGAACCCATATTTTGTTTGTAACAATTGTTGCATCTTTTGGTAACCAACATTCTGGCCTTCAGGGGTTTGATGAATTTCCTGAATGCAAGAGACGATCATATCAATTTCAACCTTGTTGTTGTCCAAATCGTCAGTTTGCCGTGTCAGGTTCATGGATTTGATCTTCCTTTCAAGCATTTGAAAAGTTGAGTATAGTCGTGACTTGTTGTTAGAGCATGGTGGATTTGTGAATATGACGATCCGCGTTCAAAGTAGGTTTGGATGTGGTCTTCAAGCTGATTGGAATGTTCAGTGGCTTGAAGTATAAGTCCCCAATCTTCCTTCCTTCATGTGAGTCTTTGTTGAGAGACGGATATGCCGTGCGTGTCTTGAATATGTTTGCGGATTTCAGCATCTGTCAGGCCATTTTCAACTATAAGAGAAACCTCAGCCTCAAAATTGTCACCAAAAGATTGCATTGAGGCATGCATGATGGATGGTTGGTGTATGTAGTAAGATCTGGTGGGGTGGTGTTGAGTTGTTGGTCTGGTAAGGGTCAGCAGTTAGTGAGAAGAGTGTTTTTTGAGCTCGGTTGCCAGCTGAATCATCAGTCAAAGAGCTGTGGTGTATGTGTTATGCGTTGAGGATGGTATGTACTTTTGCTCCAGGGAGCTTATCACATAGTTTGTATCTATTGTCAGGGTGTATGACATACATGTCAGATCCACTTGGCCAACTTGGCGGTTGAAATCACTCATATTTGTTTGAAAATTGGGTTTTTCATTTTTCATTTTTTGGCCAAAGTGGCTGCTCAGTACCTCCATAATAGGGGGTATCAAACATGACCAAATCCACCATTATTTAATTGACTGGTTTGAAAAAATCCACCCTTTTTTAAACATGTCGGTTATTCATTTAAACCCTTCTAAGACCCTTTGATGCAAAAACGTTTCTGGAAAAGTGACTGGTTTCTAATGGTGGATTTGCTATATCTGATACCCCCTAATTTAACCCCTTTTGGGGCCCATTTATGCAAAGAAAAGTTTTTGGAAAAGTGACTAGTTTCTGATGGTGGATTTCCTATATTTGATACCCCCTATGAAAAACAAAGTTTAACAATTTGTGAAAAATAAAAGATAAAATATATTTTTTCCAAAAGCTTTATTGTTAATTTTGGGGGGGTGAGAGTGCTGAGAGCAAGAAAGATTGGGAAATGAGAAGAATGATTATAAATGAAAATGTTGGAAAAATTGAGTTTTAGATGGCTTCAAACAACTGTTGAGTGGGGGATTCACCAGCCTACATTGCAGTAAAGCACTATAATTTACTTTTTTCGCTCAAATCTGGACAACCAACCTGGCTCAACCTTTTTTGGCTCCAATTTTTTTAATTCATAATAATTCTTACCATGTTCCATTCTTTCTTTCTCTCAGCACTCACACTTTCCCAAAATTAATATCAAAGATTTTGAAAAAATCAACTTTATTTTTTATTTTTCAGAAATTTTGAAACTTTGGTTTTTGCTTTTATTTTTTTGTATTCATTTCTTGGGACCTATTATGCACCACCTGACCAAGTTTGTGTTTGGAAGCTCTGGGATCCAAAATAAGCAGCCACTTTTCACTGTCTACCCACTGTACAGCTGTCCTCAGTAGTTAAGTTGTGACAAGCCCAATTCAGTAAAAAAATGAATAAATAAATAATCCAAGGCAAGACTTTATTAGCGGGGTTCACAATAGCTTCTCGCAAGAAGCTCTCTTGGTTCTTGCGAGAAATTGCAGCACCGCTCCAGGCATAAAATTTAGTGCAGAATTTTGAATCTTTGCTGATAAAATTAATGTCAGCTGTGTGCAAGCAAGAAAAAAAATAACGGGTGCAAGAAGCAAAAAATGCTATTGACTATCTTGATCTTTCTCAACCAGGAACCGACTCTGTCATGTGATAATGTTGGAAACCCAGCTACAACGTCTAAGAGCATCTCCACAGGGGGACTAAACCAGATTGAGTCCCCAAACACAATTCAGGCCTTCCACCAGAGGTGCTAAAACTGGTTCCAATTTAGGAAAACCAGCCCGGGGAGCTATAGGCAGCCTAAATTTAGGACCATATAAGCACTCAAGATCAAGTGCCTATTGGCCATATCACAGACACTCCATGAAATATCCATTCCCCCCACACAACACATATCCCCTGGACATGCCTCACTTGACTTTGCCCTCATACCTACAGACTTCCATCTCTCCTCAAAACAATCACACACCATCATGAACTCACACCGGGATCTGGATCAAATTCTCTCTTTGCTCCAATCAAGTCAAAACTAATTGACTCACAACTGTTTTCTCTGGTA